TTGTTCATTAAAGACGATCATGTCCATTGAAAATTTTATCCAATGATTACCCTGTTAATTTGACATTTTTCATTAATCCATCGATTCACTTGTCCAATAACTGGGACAAATTGTCACCCATAGATTATTGAATCACCCAAGAACAATTTTTTGTCTAAATGGCCGTTGAGTTGCCAAACTTTTCTTCCTATTTCATTATTCATAATTTCATAATACATTTTATTAACATCTCTTTCTTGCAAAGAAAAATAATAATATTGTCGTTATTAGTTTGATGTTAAGAGGGATCCATTGTACCATTTTCACACTATCTTGTTTGTATTTCTCCTTTGAAGTCTACTGTACAGTTAGGACTTACCTCAATCACTTTGCTTTTAGACGCAATTTCTCATAATAGTCCAAATTAACAAGAAGCCATATCATTATCGATATTCTTGGTGATAGTTGTGTTAAGGAAAATTTTGAAGCTAGCTATAAACCTTAGGAAACCTAATCCATGTGCATTGCTACTCAAATCTATTTGACTTGTGAGAGCTGTCATCATCAAACCCAACCTTACACTACGTAGGAGAGAAAAATCTCGATTACTTGACACAGAAGAAAAAAAAAAGACTCCAAACAAAACTCCTAAGCTCAAATGAATGTTCCAACATGACAAGCAAATGCACAATTTTGTTGTGGTCTTTGAATTAAACAAAATTTATGGGAAATTTGATGCTTATTCATTGTTATAAGGGATAAAATTAACAAAAACTTTTACACCGTATTAACTCATATGGCACCGTTCAATCTAAAACATACATTACTGAACGACCCTCACACTTTTATAGAGCAAAACATGATAACTTATAAGTCAATTATGTGATTTAATTTCATCACACAAGACATACATACAAGAACCACCTTTATGCCGATCAACCATCATATATATGATTTCTTATACTCGACGTACCTTGACTTATATATTTGTACAGACTAATTATAACAAGCAGTGACAAAGAAATGGGCAAAAGATTATTAGATAAGATTATGCCTCTAATCTTTCTTAAAGTCATAGTCAATGATTTTTCATTGTTTCTAGGGTCTAGCATATAAATCATGATATATAATGAGTTTAATGACAATTGACAAATATTTGGAGAGTATAAAACCTTTGATTAGGACAGATTCAAGTCATATTCTTTGATTCTTTAATATGATTTTCCGTATTATTTCATGATATATGTTGTAGGACGTTTTAGGAAACTAAGCTTCGTTACAAAAGTAATTACAAAAATGGTTGCGTGGCAAAAGTATTTACAAAAATAAGCTTCTGGGGTAAACCGCTGCCTCGGGCAGTGTTTTACTTTCTATTTTTTTAAAAAAAAAAAATTCTGCTACAAAACGCTGCCCCAGGCAGCGTTTTTATAGTTTGACTTTTTTTTTTTTCCTCGTTTATTTTTTTTTAAAATTAATTAAAAAAAAAGGCAACAGCATAAAACGCTGCCCCAGGCAGCGTCTTATGCTTGAACATAAGACGCTGCCTGGGGCAGCGTTTTATCTGTATATGTTTACAGGTAAAACGCTACCTGGTTGGCAGCACCAAACCAGTTTCTTGCCCCAACCCTCAACATCCTTCCAACACCACCCCCAACCTCCTTCCACCACCTCCAACCCCTTTCCACTACCGCCCTCCACCACCACCGCCTTCCACCACCACCACCACCTCCAACCCCTTTCCACCACCGCCCTCCACCACCTCCAACCATCACCTCCACCACCTTCCACCTTCCACCACCACCGCCTTCCACCACCACCGCCTTCCACCACCTTCCACCACCACCTCCAACCATCACCTTCCACCACCGCCTTCCACCGGCTTCCACCGCCTTCCACCACCTTCCTCCACCGCCGTCCACCACCTTCCACCCCGACCTCCCACCACCACAACCACCTTCCAACAACCGTCCACCACCACCTCCAACAACCTTCCACCACCACCACCTCCAACAACCTTCCACCTCACACCACTACCTTCCACCACCACCGTTGACAAGTCAATATATACATAAATCAAAACATATTTGGAAACAAAGAACATAACACACAAATGTTGACCGAAAAACATTTATTATATTAGAAATGTAAATGTTATATACCTAATCTATACAAAAATTTTACTACATGAAATAACTAAGCTAACACTATCCCGATTCATCTATCCGGGGCAATTGATCTAGGTCAGGTTGCTCGGCCCTCTGTCTGACACGCCGCCGCCTGTAATGAGTAATGGTGGTGAATGGGTATAGAGGCGGCGGGGGAGTCAGCTGGCTGGTATCTGGCACCTCCTGGGAGCCGGACGGCGCAGTGCTGTGGAAGGTGTAGTCCTCTGAGAATGTCGGCGTCGTAAAATCACCTCCACAACTACTCTGTCCGAGCTCGAACTGCGAATGCATCGAGTGGCCATCATACGTGTCCCGTTGGGGGACGAGGTAGTCGTGTCCATATCGACGCAAGCTGGCCATGCCCATATCCCGAACCCGCTGGCCATCATACATGCTGTTGCCTTTTTTTTTAATTAATTTAAAAAAAAAAATAAACGAGGAAAAAAAAAAGTCAAACTATAAAAACGCTGCCTGGGGCAGCGTTTTTGTAGCAGATTTTTTTTTTTAAAAAAATAGAGGGTAAAACGCTGCCCGAGGCAGCGGTTTACCCCAGAAGCTTATTTTTGTAAATACTTTTGCCACGCAACCAAATTTGTAATTATTTTCTTCGGGAAGCTTAGTTTCCTAAAACGTCCTATGTTGTACGCATATTATACGGAGTATATATTTGCTTTTACCCCAAGGAATAGATATTCTATTACAAAATAAGTATACAAGACATCTATCATTGACTGTTTCCTATAGTTGATTGTAAGATCGATCTACAATAATTATCATTAATTCAAAAGTCATGAAGTCTTCATGTTGATAGTATTTTATTTGGTTTTATTTCCTTTGAGTTGGGTTGGAATTTGGAAAAATAAGTTCATGCAAATTGTGTAAGAGCCTCCTTTTTTTGTGCTCCTTTTCAGCCAAGATTTACATGATAACGTGGGAAGATGACTATCAAACATCCTCATGTTTTTGTTATTGCTTTATTATTATTAAATTTTTATATTTTGTTTATACATTATTATTTTTTTGGTGTTCTACCCGGTTCACCCTTTGAGTTAATCCGAATTTGATGATCAATTTTTGGTGATTATGTTCCAGTCTTCTCCTAACTGTTGTTGCGGGAGATCAAACACACGGTCCTCTCTATCAAATATAGTCCCAATTACCACTACACCAATAATCAATTGATAGTTTATATATCATATTGAATTATTGAAGGATAATAATATACATCTTTTTGATCGACCCTTCACATCCATATGTGATTTATGTTCTCAAGACTTTATGTTCACTTAAGTTGAGATTTACGTGATCAAACATGTATAGAACATGGATGCTATATGGCCTATATTACCTTAAGTTGAGATTTACATACAGAGTACTTGTAAAGTCGTAATATATCTGGCTTTTAATTATTTGTTTGACTATAGCAAGAGTCTGTATCTAAATTCATGACCATTTATAGCAACACTTGGCGAATTCGAGTTTTGAACTAATTTCGACAACGCCTTTGCAGTTCGAGAAACAAAATATGTAAAAATTTATCTCAAACATTCTATTGGCAAAACTAAATTAACAAAATAATTAATGACTGTCATCGAGATATGATGAGAAGATGAAAATTTTGTCAAGGAGCTAATTAACTTTTTTAGAAAATCAAGCAGGTTGCCATCAATTGATGAATTTTAGAAACTTAAGCATAAGTCATAATTGCAAAATTTAAAGTAGAGATTTTATTACTTATATTCATGTCATCAATCCAAAATTAGTTAAAAATGGAACATATCAATATGAGTAGATTTTTTTAAAACGTCCAACATATTATATGAGACTAACATTATGAAACGAAAGAGTATCATTTTTATTTCTTTAATATAAAAAAAAAAAGGCTGACTAGGGAAATGGCGCACTGCCGCACCACAATGTTTGTATATACATACTGAAATAAGTTAATTATGCATTTTTAGCACGCGTTTATATATTAGTAGGTGAATAACAGCTAATGAATACATATGTAAGAGATTATGACTTGTGAAGCTGTGAGTTTGTGACAACGAAAATCTGAATTGCAGAACTACCAATTTCAAAGTTGAAAATATGCCTTATTTCGCAAATAGAGTTTCAACTAAAAAAAAAAATTGAGTTGATTTGGCTAATTTAGAGAACTTTACTACGTAAAACAATTGTTTTAAAGCTTTAATAAAAGAGCTTTTACAAAAGGCTGATTGAGCTAAATTTACTAATTTGTAAAAAAAATTGAAAAGAAGGCCTTTTACCATCTAAAAGATGGCTCCATCGCCTACCCTCCCAATATAAACATCCTTATTTGTCATTTCAGATGATTAGGTAACAAAACAACTACTTTGTATACATATTTACAACTAATTTTATCAAACAATTTTATACATATAACATTATAACTAAATCTATCAGTTAGTCAAAACATCTAATTCAACCAAATAGTCAAATTAGCTTATAAAACTAGCTCTTAGCAAACACATACTGCTGAATGACTTTGACATAACTACTTTCAAATACAAAACAAAACCCGTCTTTCCAGATTCAAACTGGTAACTATTTGACATTAACGAATGACAATGACTGGAGCCCCATAAATGACTAAGATGATCCATTCGAATTCAGCGCGCACCATCAACAATTCACAAGGTGGCAATTTCCACCTAATTTACAACTTTTAAACATGATTAGATAATTTTGATGCACAATTACAGTTGTGCTGGTCCTGCGCAATTCAGTTTTTGTATACAAGACAAGTAATTAGCAATGAAGAGTTCATATGTTATCCAAACTCAATAAAGTACTCCGTTGCATATGCATATCAAAATCTTGCCAAGTTTAAAATCCAATAACAGAGTAAAAGCATGTTTTTCCAATTTCAAACCAGATTTACAAAATAAACCACAATGAATTGTTTGACAGTATATCTATGCAATAAGCTCAGCAATATAAACCATGAAGCAATCATAATTAGTACAGTAATCTTTCAATTTTCAGTCACTGAAACAACTTTTACCTTATAGAGTTGATATGCCAACTGAGCTTACAAAACAAAAAATAAATGTAGTAAAAGGTGCTGTCAAATAACAAACCTCTGGAAGGAATTAAGGTTTGTTTGGAAAGTGAAAGCAGGGGCCATTATTACATCTACCCTCTTCTCCTCTTCCTCAGTGTTGGGAACTTAAGAGGAGTAGGAAGGGTAGCAACAGTCACCTTATTTCTTCTAGCAAACTTACAGCCCAAATTCTCGAAATAAGGTCTTAGACTTAAAGCAGACATCTTCAGATCCTTGGCAATATCTGTAAAATCAGTCTGAAACTCATCAACAAATAAGGTGAGAACCAGCACATAGCTGATGAGGGAGCCGATTTTGTCATCTGAGAGCCTGTTTTTCTCTTTATTGATAAACATTTTGTCGAACTTCTGTGACAAAATGCTTGGGAGATAAACGTGATGCTTAGAAGATTTTCCACCACCACCAGCAGAATACCGATTCTTGATGTTTATGAGATGAGAAATATATGACAGGATGCCAGCAAGCCTTCTCTGCTCTGCATCATCCTACAGAATCAAGAGTAACAATGACATACATATATGACTATATGTACCTACGGGGAAAGCATTCAGGTTAAAGAATGGTATTGAGATCAAATGACCACAGTACTTTGCCAGATTTTGCTATATTAATACACAACAAACCCAAAGAAGCATATACCCCGTTTACACATACCAATAACAACTTATTTCCAACACACAAATCTCTTGCAGCAAGATGTAGATGCTGCCTTGATTATCACTACTATCTCCTAAAATATCAAAACTTATAAATTTTGTACGACGACAGTGTAAAAGCAATCAATGTGTCTAAAGATGGCATTTATCAGCCTACTGCTTTTTCCCATACAAAATTTTATTTTATTATTTATAGGAAAAGAAGTTCAAATAAGTTCAAATAAGGGTACCCAATTTCAATTTAAAACTGCATCAAGTTCAAATAAGTGAATTTCCGGGGAGAATTAAAGTCTTTATCATTAAAACTCACCTTGTTTAATTCCACTTTGTAACATCGATTGCACACAAAACTTGGGTAAACATCTGGTTTTATCTCCTTCCCAGATTGCAAAAGCTCCAAAATGTCTCTCACATAATCCCATTCTCCTTTGAGAATAATTTTATCAAGCAGATAAGCCTTCTCTGGTGTTGTAGCAGAGAGATCGTGTGGGGGAAGATTGTTGTCAGTGTCCATACTGGAACTTTCAATTGCTGTCTTGTCTATAGGAGTTGCCTCTAAAATTTGGTTTATCTCAGGCATGGCATCAGGATCTTCCTTTTGACTTAACCGCATAGCTTCCTTGTCCTGCAAGAGAAACAACTAATCAATAATTATCCGAATAAAATCTGATCCAGACTATACAAGTGTTCTATACTGTATTATATACAGTTTAATACATGTGAAGTTGTGAGCACTAGTTCTGGAAATTTCTGACTCTCTTATTAATAATCTGGATAGCTACAAATTACTATATTACACTTGACAGATGTTTATCTTTGACTATTCCGTAAGAAAATATTCATCGAAAATTAGCATTTCATCACTTGATGAGTTAATAATTTGGTCCTTAGCTCAAATGGTACATGTGTACATCAAGATGCCCCATAACTTCACTAAACATGAATTGGATTAAAACTTAATAGAACATGTTCAAGAGTTTTATCACATAACATAAAGCAGAAAAACAAAGGATGTTGATCTAGATATCTCATCATCAGTAAAGAATGAACAGAGCCAAGAACAAAAGTTCCCTACATCGTATCACATCAAATGCTTCTGGTTCCTAAGATCCTAACGCCAAAGATGAGTATTAGTATATAATTAAATATCCAAGTGGAAGAATACAAACCTTCTTTATTGCACCCTTGGTACCATAACGGTCTGTAAGTTTATGCCGTCTCAGTCTTCTATCTTCAGCATCTTCAATCTTGGCCGGAGTTTCTGGTTCCGTTTCAGAAGCGCGTGATGCTCTAGCTAATGGTTGTAACCTGAATACCTGAACATTGTCATCAACAAGGTCCATGTTAGGAAAACAAGTCGAGCTCAAATAGGTGTCTACATCAAAAGAATGCCGAGATCGTAAACTAAGAAACATGAAAATGGAGGGTTTATAATCGCAGTATACGACCCCGACAAAGCTTCACTTTACTAACAACAGCCCAAATGACAGGCAATACCGCCTTTATGAAGACAAACCACTTTAGACAATGGAGCAGCTTTCCTCAAACTCTTTTTTAATTTTTTTTTAAACAAGGATTTGCATATCTATAAAACAGGCAATGTCGTTAATGAATTCTGAAACGCATAGCTATACCAGTTGATGAAAAGATGACACAATTAACAATACAAGTAAATGTAAAAAACTTCAGTTTCCCAACATTCTTTCATGAATGATCACACAAGCACAAATCACTTTCAATTTCATGGAAATCAAACAATGAATTACACAAAAACAAAAGCCAAAATCTTCTTCTTAACTAACTAAACCAACAAATAAAATTCAACATTTCTTGTTGAAAGCAATCAACATAATCAAATACCAAATATCGCACCATTCAAAAAAAAAAATACCAAATATCGCAAATAAACTCATGCAAAATTCACTTCAAATATACCCGTAAAATACCAATTAGCTTAATAGACGGTAATCCGGGATCAAAACCCAAGTACATCGCCGTCTTTTGTGACTCTCTCTGCACCAGAATTAAGCAAACAATAAGCTTGAAGAAACAAAAATTGAAAAAAGTGAAGGAAATTATACCCTATTAGCATTAATGGGGGCCAATCTGAAAGTCTGAGAGCGTTTCTCAACAACCGCAAGAGCATAACTATTCATCCTACCAACAGCAGCTTCACCAAAATGACTATTACCAACATAATCAACTTTAGACCCATTTGGTTTCACAACAAGTTCAACTCTTCTAAGCCTTTTTTGGTCCCTGAAAAACCCTAGTTTGCTTGATTCTGGGTTTTTAAGGTTTAATGGGTCGAACCCAGAAGGGTAATACCCCAACATTGGTGCATTTTTATCTTGTTGTTCCTTCAACATTTGAACTGCGGTATCAAATTGGATTGATTTCCTCTTTTTTTTCTTGGAATTGTGTGATTTAGGGGGTGTTATTGCCTCCATGTTTGATTTTGGCAGAGAGAGATAGTGGGGTTGAAACAGAGAGAAATTGAATGAGAGGGTTTTGGAGATTATATTGGGGTTTTTCTGTGATAAACCCTACAATGGAGAATTGGACAGAGAAGAAGAAGGGGAAGTAATATTGGGCTATTTGCTGGATTTTTTTTTTATTGTGGGTCGAACCAAATTTTAAGACGAGGCCACAAAGGTTTTCAGTCATTGTAAATTGTAATTAGACCTTTCTTTGATTTTTTTTTAAAGCATTATACTCTGTATATCATCTGTTTTCACTTGCTTGCAAGTCCCAACACACCACTTCATCACACACTTTAAAATATATATTATACTAAGTAAATGATTAACAATTTTAAATATAATCGATAAGTTATTACGATTAAAATTTTATAGCTTAATTCGTCCAACAAAGAATGTATATATTTAAGAATTATTCGACATTTTAGTACATGAAGTTGGCTGAGATTGAAGATAAATTTTATTGTTCTTAGGCTTAAGGTTTCTAAAATATACTCTTTTCTATTTTTATGGGAATGAATTATATTATTATAATTTATGTGAATATAATATTGTGGACTTTAATACTTGTATACTATAGGTATGCTTAATTAGATCATATAGTCATTACTATTACGAGTAATTGAAATTATGCTACATGTTCAACACTAATGTAATGTAGTTTGTGCTCTTCCAAAAAGATAAAATAAAAATGTAATGTAGTTTATGTGTGAATCAAATTTATACTATTCAATATTTTTTGAATTGTTGACATTCCAACATTGGTATAATCGGATTCCCGATTGAATTTATCAAAAAGGATATGATAAAGTTTTCATTTTAAACTTGTAAACGTACTTCATCAATAAATATTTACTAAGAAATCGGTTTTATGCGCAATCATAAGTTAGAAAATCCGATTAATAAAATAAGTTACTCCGTATTCACTTTTATTATCCAAAAATAGTGGAGGACCCGTCGCCGTTACGAAGATTAAGTTGTTGTAGTCATGGACCCCACTCTCTTGAGTGTGCCAATGCCCCATTTCTGTCTATTTTTTCTTCTTCTTCTTCTTCTTCTTCTTCTGTAAAAGACATCCCACCTGTCTTTCTCTCTAGAGCTACGGCAAAGCATTTGCCTACTACTATCCTGCTACCTTCCCTTCTCAGGCAAGTCCCACTCAATTGTTTGGCTGAATCCAACTATTTCATTCCCTTTTTTCCTTTTTATAATTTAGGGTTACAATCTTTTGTGATTAATTGATCATATTATCTTATTTGTTTTCCCAAAATATGATTGATTTCAGCCTAGTTGTAAAAAATTTTGTTTGGTGGGTATTTTGAAATTTGAAGCTGCTCTGCAAATTTTGTGTGTTTAGGTTATCAATTGATTATTTTATCTATCTAATTATAAGAAGGTGATTTATGTTCTTGATGAATTTTTGTGGGATTATCATCTTTATTTTAAAGTTTGAATGTTGCAGATTATAGAAAGAGAGAGTTGGGCAGCTGCAGCTACAATTTCATGTCAATTTGGTGATTTTTTCTATAGCCAAGCATGGAACAAAGTATTATAATTTTTCTCATTTTGATTTATGCAATTTTTTGTGCTGCTTATGATCCAAGTTTGGTAATTTAGTGGAAGTATAATTGCAAGTTTAAGAAAGGACATTGTATGATTTGGCTAGAATTTGGTATAAATGGGTAGATGTTACGGGTGAAAGCTCATATCAAGGTTTTTGGGTTCTTAAATTTATGTTTTTTCTGATACTATAATCATGTCAAAGATTACTAGATAATGGTGACATTCCAAATTTTCATTTGGCAACAAAAGTTTTGTTAAGAAATCATAATTGTCCATTTATTCGATTGCCAATAGAGTTGGTGGGTTAATCCTACCATGATTTTCTTATCTGCTTAAACAAGCTACAATATAATGAAGTAAATGTTTGCCAATTATCCCTATAGCCTGACCTATTTTGGACAGGGTAAACACTGGGGGAGTATTTTGTGTGATAAAGGATTGGATTGGACTGTTTCATAGGGGTGTTTGAGGCAAAATGTTCCGATATGTTCTGATGCATGAATATTAGGTCTTCCCTATTTGAGCAAGGTTTGAAAGGCCAAGTAGGAGCTGTCTGAGGGAAGGCAGCATACTATAAGGTTTGGGAAGTAGTCATTTTTAAACATAGTAATAGATGAGGCCCATGAGAATGTGCACGCATTTGCAGCACCCAGACATACAACATAGTTATTGATTTTTTTTTTTCTCCACTTAAATGTTCTTTCCATAGTTATCTCAATCATTCAAATGTATTTATCCACCGCAGGCTGCCCAACAGACCCTGAAAAAAAGGGGGATTATGCGCTCATTGGGGATGGAGAGGACCAATTGTTGGGGTTGTATGATAAACCGCTCCCATGCTTTGGCTGTGGTATTGGTTGGTTTTCGTAAGTGTCCCAACTTTTTCTATTTGCTTGTCCTGCCCACTCCTCTGCCTTCTCCCTTAACGTAAACATGTGTCTTTCTGGCAGTTTTTTGCTTGGTTTCATATTCCCGTTGATGTGGTACTATGCTACAATCCTTTACTTCAGAAATTACTACCTTAAAGATCCTAGGGAAAGGACTGGACTTGCCACTTGTGCAATAGCTGTAAGTATCTTGTCTATGACATGGCATTTCTTGTCTTGGCTTATGCCGATACCAATACTTATCTTGGATTTTGCGGACATAGTTGCTAATCTTGCTATTATTTGCTTACTTGGCCTATTATTGATATCAATGGAGTCAGAAGCTCACAGCGTAGTAATAAAAATTCTCTACATGGCATTTCTTGTCTTGGCTTATGCCGATACCAATACTTATCTTGGATTTTGCAGACATAGTTGCTAATCTTGCTATTATTTGCTTACTTGGCCTATTACTGATATCAATGGAGTCAGAAGCTCACAACGTAGAAATAAAAATTCTCTAGATTTGTAATTAGATTGTGTTTAGCCTCTTATAGCATATGATGTACATAGCTCTTATTGTATGCTGGTAACTGTAAGAGTGCATGAGGATTGTTTATGCATTTTGATAGTCTTACTCCTTTTACACCTTACTGGAATAATATAATCAAGATACTTCCTCTTTTTTCTTTCCTTTCCATTTATATTTTTTGGGGAAAGAGAGAGAGGAGGAGGAGGAGGGGGGGGGGGGGAAAGGGTTCACCTTCAACTAGTTGATATCTTGTCCCTTAATGGTGTTTACTGACATCAAGGGACACATCTAATGCTTTTAAGATTTACAGCTTTTTACATTATGCACACTATCTGCTTATCCTGCCCACTTCTCTGCTTGTTACTCTTGCTTACCTATGTTTAACTAGACACATTTATCGTGATTAGATAATCATATCTATAGTTGTGTGTCATGGCTTGCCTATCTCTTCAAGTAGCTGTTTAATTGAATTTGAATTGAGAAAATGTTTGGATATTGCCGTTCTCTCATGTATTAGTAACATTATATCTCTATGATTGCAGGCTCTGGTATTTACAGTTGTGGCACTGATTATCGCGGCTGTGATTCTTCTCTAGTGCTTCTTGAAACCCTAAGCTCTCCTTGTATATATTTATTCTCCAATCTAACACACAAGCGAAATAGAACGAGGGATCTCTGGGGAAAGAGCTTGGTAAAGAATTTTGCTGGCTGATTGTAAGTCTTACTATTCGTGCAAAAAAATAATTGTATGTACATATAATATGACCACTGTAGTGAAGTTTATAACACACTAGCCACATTATGAAGAGATACAAATTATGAGAGATGTGTCCTATTGAAATGCTTTACTTTTTGCCCAGATGTACTGTTGTGTCATCTTATAGCTGCTGCATTGTGGATTTGTGGTATTGGATCAAGTTATATGTATGGTGTCATTACTGGAAGGTGGAAGCCGGTGTCATTACTTGTACGGTACCTTCGCAAATCATTCTGTATATTTGTGGCATGGGCAATTACTAATTTGCTGTGATAGAGTTTTTTGAGTATATTTCTTCTTAGATCTATCAGTAGATGAGATCCTCTCTAAACCCACAGACCACAACATTGACACAGTAGTCTGCACTTTGTTAGTGTGTTAAAGTAAGCTACTACAGTACTACAACAGGTAGCACAGTCTTTATTGGTTCAAGCTTGGTCAAATTTAGTTGCAAGGCTGGTTCAGCTCAAGGCTGGGTTGTCAACAAATATGTTGATAGTCAAGGCTAGCCTCACAAATTCACAATTGAACCAGATTGTGATGCTCCTCCCCTTCCTCGTTCGCCTTAATAGTTAAATATGCCAACACTGTTCCTAAAATTGAGTCGGAAGGGTACCAAATCTAATTTGAGTCAGTGGTCGTTGAGTTGAGCCAATCATTGGTAAATCTGCCGTTTGTGAACTTTCCCGTTTTTGTTGAGCAATTAATACATGTATATACTCTTTGTTCGTAATTGTTGATTTAGCTAGTGTTTGGCAGAATTAGTTGATAGCTTGCAACGGGTCATGATGTATAAAACGACATAATAATATGAGTTATAAGCTACTCTTGTGTGCTGCTAGATTTGAATATCAAACATGAAAATGGTCTCTTTTACCTAAAGTTCATTATTAAATTTTGGTCACCCTCATCAAACTACATACCATATCTGGTTTTCTTTACCTTTCTCTCTTATTTTAGTCAACTTGAAAATAGGCTAAATCACAGGTGAGAATATCTATCCTTGATCTCAGACATTTTAACAATTTTTTTTGTTAATACAACATGCCCTTTTATAAAAATTGTATTTTCACAATTTCCTACTACTAAATAATATCCCCATATTTAGGGACCCTTTAAGTCTTTAACCCCTTATTTTCTCCTTGCCATCCAATTTGGGAATTTTTTTTATTAAATCTCTTGCATCAATCCAGAGAAAATTACCCCTTGATTATCATTTGGGGTCATTCTCTCTATTCCTCCATAGGCAAAGAAATTTTACTCATTAAATTCAAAACTCGAATTTTTTTCGAAATTTTTTTTGAAAAAAAAAACTCTAAAAGATAATTAGTCAAGGAATTTGTAATGGCGGTAAGTACTGTTCTTCTAGGATGCCTAAACACCATAACCTTATGCATTTCATTACCTATTCTCTTGGCTGGTTATTTTGTAAAAATAACAGCCAATTCCCCCTGTGATCCAATAATGTACAAGCCTCTCCTTGCACTCGGCACTTGCTTGCTCATCATCTCCCTCATCGGACTCCTAGGCTCGTGTTGTCGAATAACCCTCTTCTTGTGGTTGTATTTGATTGCATTGTTCGTCGTAATCATAGGGTTGCTAGCGTGTTTAACTGTTGGAGGCGCGGTGATTAAGGGAGGCGGAAATGGACAAGATGTTCTAGGGGTAGTGTTAAGGAGTATGAGCTTCAAGGGTTCTCAAGTTGGCTGAAGAATAATATGGTTGGTGGAAATCATTGGGAGGACATTAAGTCATGCATGATTCGCCATGATGCTTGTGGCAAGATTGGTGCTTTTAGGTCTATAATGGATTTTGTTACTCTAAAGCGCTCTAAACTTACATCAATTGAGGTATAATTTTTTTGCCTTTTTTTTTTTAAAAAAAAAAGTTATTATTTTGTTTGAAATTTAATTATTCAGAAATAATACTAAGTACTGGGGGTATATTTTTCAGAATAATCAGTTTGAATAAGGTAACTAAAAAAAGAATCATCCCAGAAAAAAATGAATTATTTGGAGAAGGCCTTCCTCTAAGAAAACACCCTTTAATTTTGTCAAAAAAAAATAAAAATATATATTGTAGTGAAACTTGTTATGGGTGGTGTTTATTTTATCAATGTTAAATCAAGAAAGTAAGTTAGTCCCCCTCCAAAAGTTAAAAGAAGGACTAGTATAATTATTTAAGTCCGATAGCATATTTCAAACTCAATCTCTTCATTTCATTTTTACTTGCTCTTTTTCTTTATATTTCGTATGTTTGAATTTTAATGTCTTAAACTTACGACAGGAAAAAACAATACGAAATACAAAGTGCATATATTTGAGAAAACTTAGCTTGATCTTTCTTATTTTAAATCTATTTTTTAAACACATATTTCCTGCAAAAATCAAAGTTCAAATCCTTGTGACATCTATTTTTATCATGTTGTTTTATCTTGTCAAAATAAGTTTATGAGTTTTAGAGTATAAATGCATTTTTAGCGACTTTTTTAATTTTATTTAGAATAGTGTTTGACTTAGGTGTTTTGTTTTTTTTTCTTTTTTCTTTTGAGACAGACAGGATGTTGCAAACCACCAGCACAATGTGGATTTACTTATGAAAGTGCAACAACTTGGATAGTTCCAGTAAAGGGATTGACTTCAACAGATCCAGATTGCAAAGTTTGGAACAATGCTTATAATAATTTGTGCTATAATTGTGGATCATGCAAAGCTGGTTATTTAGCTTTATTTATGAAGGGTTGGAGAAGAATTACTATTGTCAATGTTGTACTTCTTGTTGTATTGTTTGTTGTTTTCATCATTGCCTGTTGTGCTCTTAGAGATTAAATCCATTAGCTTCTTTACACCGATACATCTAGAGTTACGTCTATATTTTCGTAAGGGCAATTAGTTTAATTTTCTTTACAATTGGAGGTTAGCTCTTTATTGTGTTTTTCTTATATTTTCAAAAGATAATTGGTTTTCGATATAGATATTTTTTTTTCCTTCGAACACATAAATACAAATGTAAAAAGAATAGAGGGAGCCAGTGAGAAATGTCCATGTGAGGTACTTTTTATTGTTTTTATTTGAAATAGTTGTATTATTTATTTATGGAAGATCAAAGTTAAATTAATTTGACCGCAGATTCACATTATTGTATACTACGAAATTAAAGAAACAAAATGCTCCGTAGTTAAGTAACTTCTATAGTGCATTTTTGAAATATAATTCATTTTTTTTTCTAATGCATATATGGTCAAACTAGCTAATAATGAGTAGTTTACTTCCTTTTTTACACTTAATTTATTTTTTAATGGATTGGGATCGAAAGTCACAGGACATCAAAATAGTCAACAAGATAGATCAAAGTAATATTTCGAGGCCGATTTTAATTTGATATAAATGATTATACTTGACGAACTGATATATGTTGTGATATTGCGAATATTTTTCAACCAACTAAATGGGAATTCATACAATTTTTTTTTTTTTTTTTGGTTGTAAAAGTAGAATTTTCTATACTTAATCAAACACATTTGGTACGGAGTAAAGATGTATGAACAGTTGGACACTACAATTTATATATAAAAATATAATAATTAAATTTTGATGTCAAACCTGATAAACTTTGATCGTAAATCCCCACTGATATATACTCGTAAAAGAAAATATAGTGCAAAAGAATTAGAAAAAGTTTAATATGGATTTTCAAGATATTAATTTTTTTTTTTAATCAACACACAAGTAAAATATTAAATACTGGAGTATATATATAGCATATGGTCAAACATGAAGTACAATCAAACTAGCATTATGGAGATATTGAAAAGCAGCAATTTCCTGTTGATTTTTTTATTATTTTAATTTGTGAATCTAGGAATACAATAGGTATTCCCCTCACTTAATGTGAGGATAACATAGTAAAATTACGCGGTGTTACATGTAAATATGGCCACGTTTCGGATGACTCCACACTACACGTCATTACACGGAGTTATATGCTCAGGTAACACCATTTTCTTCCGTTAACTCACTTAACCTTCTCCATCCTCTCTCCTCAAAGCTTCCTACCTTCATTCATCAATGACATTTGCATATATAGAACCGCCACCTCTACTACCTTTCTCTCTCCACCAGATCTCCACCCACTGTTCATCAACACCATGTTCTTGGTTACCCCTACCCCTTGGGATTAACCAAGCCCTTAATTTCATCTTTTATTCCTAGGATTTTCGTTTTATTCGGCGGCGAAAAGGTGGTGGTGTCGGTGGACATGATGAAGATGGTGGTGTTGGTGGTAGCTTCAATAGAGGAAATAAATAGCGGCGTTTACAAATCGCTTGCCTACGTGTGGCAGTGGGCAGCTGATCCGGAATTGGATATGGTTCAAGGTTCACAACAAGCTAACGAGTCTAATGGTCCAATGCATGGTTCGAAGGGTCCATTGACACGTTCCAAGGTTCAACAAGATCAAGTTCCTTTGGCTCATGGTTTGTTCATACAAGGGTCCAAGTTCCATAAAGGTTCACGCATAGGTTTTGTCATGGCTTCATCTCCAATCAAGTCTTGCGTGACTTGGGTGGACTATTAATAAGTGTTTGCCTTGGATGCTTGGGCGTGAGTACTAGCATAGACGAGGGAATATCCTCCCTCGAATTTCAGTCCAAGTTCACAAGTAAATGAAGGCATCCAACAAAGCAATCAATGGGAGGTTACAAGCTTCAATGTGGCGTTTATGAAGGAGGTTACACGCCCCTTGGATGTTTTCTTTTGAAGTTTGAATTCCCTTAGTTTAATTGCTTTTAAATACTAGTTAATTATATGTTTATTTTCAGTTGTTAGAAGTAATTAGCTAAGCTTAAAGTTGCTGTAATAAAGCTGTAACAATTAGCCGTTACAAGGGAGAAAGCTGGGCGCACTTACAGCGAGTTCCTTCAGGAACTGTTTTAAGGAACTTCAACAGTTATTAGTCTTCAATATGTGGCGGTTTCCGTGGGAAACGTTACACATGAAGGTTGACTATACCTGGCGACTTTTGAGTTCTTTGGCTGGTGACTTTTTAAGTTTCTTTTAATTATTTTAGCTAAGTTAGATAATTAATGTAACTAGCTACTTCCT